TGATATGAATTAGCTGGAAAAACTATCATCACCTTTCTCCACCACATAACAGACTGAGGCCAGTCTAAGGTGATTGTGGTAGAGCACGAACCCGCTGATGGCCTATACCACCGTTGCATGAAATAAGATAACTGCATCGTTTTGCATCTAAAGGTTATCAATAAAGGTTGTAGATACGTAAAAGAAAACTTTCATTCACCTAGATATCGTCGGCGGCCCATTATAGCCCCGAATAATTTTTCCTACTTAAAACTGTATCGATCGATCAGGCTGGTGTTTTGGCTAGTCGGTTGCACTATTCTTCATCTTGTGCTACAGTTATTTGTATAAACCACGCTGTTATCCTCGTCATTTGGCAGCTGTGGATTTGGAAAGTCCGCAACTGTGTATTTACTTTTTGTCCCCTGCCTGAATGGATACAGTAAATAAACATTCTAGCGTTCCCTCGTATACCCATCAACGCTCCATTGTTAACAACTATGGCATGGGCGGATTGAATTAGCCCTAGACTGAAGTTGATTTCTTATTGGTACTTCATGCGTAACACCAAACGGATTGCAAAGTGCACATTGTGGGGATTCGCTACGGTATCCATTGGATTGAAGAAAACGTCAATTTTGCATGCGCTACGTAAATCAACATTATGCTATCGTTCTGTCCCGAATAATTCTCAGAAGCCACACTCCGTTCTCCTACAGCTTGTATGAAATCGGTCTAACTCGACCGTCTATCAACCTGCCATTGTTACTGTTGTGTAGGGCAGCAGTAGTCTGCATCATTCTCAGCACTGCAGTGTTTGTAAAATGCCTTTTTACTGGATTTTGGTCTTTGAGAGCCTTGTTACCGCCAGGTTGAATGCCACAATTTATCGACGCTTTCTTGTGGCTCACCACTCCAAGTCTAAAATACTGACTGTCCGTTTTCTCCACATATCATGCGGATTATGTGCTTCACCCCTTCCGCTGTGCACCATACAACAACGTAATAAAACAGGCGCGTAAGCTGTCAGTGTCTTTGCTTGGCACGTTCTCGGTTATAACAAAACATACAGTCCTTTGAATTGTTGGCACATTTCAGGATTTCGGCCAGTACAGCCCAGACGGCAATTATGCGATGCAAACGACCGAGGGTGAGCAAATTGGACAGCTGATTTCTGGCTATATCGACATCATTTTGCGACGCCAGCGCAGCAAATTGGGTGCTGCTGGCGATGCGGATGAAGAGAACACAATTGTTGAGGATAATGTTGCCCCGTCCAGGTAGGATGTTTCTGTCAATCATATATCGCGTCTTGTTTTACGATTCCTGTGTTTGCAGAACCGATCCGGGGAAAATTCAAATGTATTGGTAGTTTTTAGAATAAGACTACGGTGATATTGATCTGCTTTGGTTAGGGTAAACTGCAATACTGTGACCACAAACCAATCATGGGTTGGTTTCATTTTTATAAAAAAAGGGTTTTGGTCGTGATCTCTTTGATTCCTAGTCTAGACTTAGATGATTATGCATGCACACGACACATAATGCTTATGTATTCCATCTCCTATCAAACTCTCCAAGAGCCAACGTGATTTCCAACATGAGCGGAACGTTACCTAGAGGACAACGCGCACAAGAGGCCAATATAGCACATACAGGAGTTTTACGCACGGCGAGCTACCGGGGTGATTTCGCTGAAGGTCATCTAATCACGAGGGATCAAACTGTAACACAGCACAACCTCGGTGGTGCCCAAGTCGGGTCTGGACGTATTATTAATCGGAGCGGAATAACGAACCCAACTCTGAATGGAGATCGTCATTCTGGTGTAAGCAATCAATAGTGTCTCTCTTAAATGCAGAAGTTTATTTATATCTAATAGTTTAACGTATTCTAGACGATATTTATTATTATTATTATAACGCATCGTTACTTGTTCCAAATTGGGACGTACACTCAACTGGCTACCATCGAATATACCTGTCAAATTCTGACAAGAGACTAAACTTTGGACGTCGATTTGCTCTCCTCACATTACCTTAGTTATCAATTTTATGTTGCTCAAAATGCATTGAATTCACCGGGTTCATTGCAAGCAAGCACATGATGATTTCGACGTCAGAGTTTGTGATACGTTTACCATTTGCACATCAGGGTACCCCTGATCTCGAACTCATTGAGTTTTGTCCCGAGTTGAGCGTTACCCTTCTTTATACGTGTAATTCGTTAACCATTTGTTTTCGATGTGTGATTTGACTGTATCATAACCAGTAAGTTGAGGAGTAGGAGGGGGCTGACGGTTAATTGAGGTTTATTATGCACCTCATCTGGATAATTACTCAGTCGTACATGTGTGTATGTTTTACTAGTGGCTGTATTTAACACTGGCTAGTCTGTTAAGTACAATTATCTATTTATAATGGTAATCAAATACCCTATTCGATCTTTCATCAATCGCCGTCTCAGGGCATTCTATCTATCGTCCATCCTCATCGCGCCGTTTGTCTTTGTGGTCATTAGGTTCACTCCTACCATGGCACGCAGTAAGATTTAAATAGATCAAACAAAGCTCACGGTCATGTTTTCCAACATGCTAGAACTCATGCAAATTAGCCAATAATATTTGTCTAGATGTTTCTGTGGTCCAGACTTTGTTCACACACATACACACACACACTTGCGCTTTTTCTATTTTTCTTTATGTTTATCCTCTCCTTTCCACTTGCCAGTTTCAATTAATAGACCTGGGTCAACCGAAACGTGCCCTTCTCCAGCGCATTGATTTTGGTTTACGATCGATTCAAGAAGCCACGGAAGAATTGGAAAAACCTGTTTATTCAGACGATGAAGCACTGAGAGGTGATGATGCTGTGAGTATATGCACCGTAAACGATTTATCCTGTTGTTTTCTATCTCTTCCTCTCCCTATCTCATATTTTGTTTAAAACTCTCAATCCTTGTTCGTTCCATGCAGATAACAAAACGTTGGCGTACAGAGGCACTAGAGCAGGCACGCACTGGCGTGATGAGCCACTTAGGTGCAATGACTATGGCTACTGGACAGTTACTCTCCTGTCTTCAAACTCCCACGGCTGCTGAAGGTAACTTTGATCGAATGTTGTCTTGATTAACATGATACGACCGTTTGGTTTCACAAATCTGGTCCACACGTGACTTCCCCTTGCCAGTGGTTAGTTCCTCCGTCGTTGTTGACCAGTTGCCTGCCCTGAGTGTCTGCGTCCTTGTCACACGCGTATCAATAAACATCGACTAGTAGCAAACCATAAATGCAGACAAACAGACAGACAGACAGACAGACAGACGAATAGAATTAACTGACCCACAGACAGGTGCATTTACAAAGTCATTGCTAGACCATGAATTTCTTTATACTTGTACACATTCTTCTTCGTGGTCTTATTTATCATCGCATGACACGAATCATATCTTCCGATACAGTGAGTATCAAATACCAATCATCAGTGGGTTGGTCCTGTTCGCGCAACCTACTGTTACGTTCTCCAGTGCTTGTATCACATAGAACCTGCCTCAGACAGTGCTCAATATAAGTGCCCGCGCGCGACCTAAACGGCGTCTGTCTTTCACCTGTTGACGTCGACTTACGATTCTTTGTTCAAATGAGTTGCCTATACGGACCAGCTCAAAAGTTTTGCCATAATCAGCGAATTACCAACAGTTGGCGACCCCGTTTATTGGTCCCTATTGATTTGATCGATTCGGAGAATCAGTGTTTCTCTCTCAACAGTCCCGCACCGGTAAGCCACATTACACTTGACCGTTTGTTCTTTCGCTTTTACGCGAGGTTTTCGTAAATTCTCAGTCACCTTGTGCGCGTTGTGCGCATTTCATAAGCTTTATCTCGTGACCTGAAAAAACATGGTGCTTCTCTGTTTAATTCCTTTATGGCTCCCGTTAACTTTGGTCTCGTTTGCTCTCATCAATGTGGATCGTGCCATAAACACAAACTTGTCCCCCCCCCCNCCCCCCCCCGGCCCCCCCCTCCGCTCGGTAGCTAGAACAACTCTTTTCCACTCTGTCCCTCCATCTCCATATTATGTAGTAGTGGAGGTTCACAGTTTCCCCACATGCACAGAGAGAACATTGTTCGATTTCTGTGAACCTGTTCCTGGTTTTGCTGTTTTCGTGTATTTCTGTGTGTGTGTGTGAGAGAGAGAAGTGTTTTGCTGTGCACCACATTTCGAGTGACAGCTGAAATGAACTAGAGAAAAAATGTCAAATATACTTACTCCGAGTCCGGTTCCAGTTATTAGAACCCGAATTTCATTGTCTGTTTTACCCACCAACACAACTGAACACCCCGAAATGTATGCACACTTAGCGCACAGACAAAAAAAAGTATTATTAATATGAATTAAGGGTTTTCAGCAAAAAATACCTGTTCATGGTTTTACGAATTGTGTTTAAATTTGTCTCGTGTTCTTCACAGTATTTCATTGATCTCCGTTCAAATGCTTCACTTGTAGTACAGTTGCACGGTCCACGTACATCTTTTTTCACACAGCTCTGAAGAGTTTATTCGCTGTTTTTTCCTAATTCGGATCTCTTGGCTGCTGCTGCTGCTGCTGCTTGATCTTTCCAATTTCGCTGATCCGCGTAAAATATGGGCTTGCTTACTCAGTTAACCTCCTGTTTGCCTTGCTTTCCCCACATTGTTCGTACCCCGCCATGTTGTCGCGCGTTGGATAAAAATTAGATGACCGTTACGAGTTTGACTATGCTAACATGGATGCCTCGCTGGCCTCAATCGGAATGAATGTTCACGGTCTGATCCAGTGCGTTCGACTGTATGATCAAGTAGATGCTGCACAGGGTTCAGAACACGGGCTGGGGTTGCGTGCAGCTGCTCAGAGCCTGTCTGACGCATTTTTGGACCTAATGCGTGCTGCTGTACCAGCCTCACCCGGTGCAAATGATACCGGAGACAAGGTGAGCTGATGTGAAATTTCAGCTTAATTGTCTGTTGCATCATTTTTTTGCCTTGGTTCGTCCGTCACTCCATTATCCGTCTCCTTCGATTTGTTGTGTTTCTTCAGGTGTCCACAATATCAAGATCAACCAGTTCTTTGGTCGAGGGAAAGCACGGGCCCGATCGAGCTGCTCTGTTGGAAGCGGCAAGTCGAGTTGGGGACGCTAGTCGTCAATTGCTACAGTACATTTCCCATCCGTCTGCTCACAACACAAACTTGGGGTCCGTAACTCCTATGGATGCACAGAGCAATGGAGCGGCAAGCCCCATGAATCTGTATCCGTCTGTTGTAGACTGGGAAGCCAGAGATCAACTGCTTTCTGCAACAAAGGTAAAAACGAATGAGCTATAGCACCCCTTGGTAACTTTGAGTGCTGATGGATTTTTAAAAGATTAGATTCTGTGTTTGACACCAGCGTGTCTTTTTCACATAATTTTTCATGCTCTATATTTGCCAATCTCGTTTTTCAGTCTGTTGCCAATCGAATGGCCAAGTTGGTGAAAACGGCCAAGCTTGGTGCTATGGCTGTTGGTCAGGAAGCGGCAGATTTGTTCTCCCGCAACGGTGCTGATTCTGACGCATCTCTTTTGCTCCGTTCCACCCAAGGTCGGTTAGTTCACGCAGCTACAACGGCTGGAAAAGCAGCTAGTCGATTGGTTACCTGTGCTAAAGTTGTTGTTTGCACCATGGAACAACCGGAATCACAGGATCAGCTTATTCGGACAGCCAAAGAAGTGAGCAGTTAAATAAGTCTTCTCAAATGACATTCGTTTCTCCACCTTTTTGATCTAGAGTATGCGGACACGATGTTGTACTGCTAAGTGAAGATCCTGATAAGTTACGAGCTTTTCTGGATGGTTTGTGTACCAGTGTAGTCATATTCGGTGTTTTGCACCTTCTAAGTGTAAAGTCTTCCTTCATTACTGGGTTGGCCCAGCCCCTAAGAAATAGAGGAAATAGACGAACTTCGCCAACTGATTGGTTATATCTCACCTGATTGGCGCATTACGGATGAAGTCTCGGGTATACAATCTAGAAGTTGGACCAGTGCGGTTTTACAGCACATTATGAAACAAGATGAGGATATGCTATCGGTATTCGAACACCGCTGTCTACATGTTTAA